AAAAAAAAAAAGAAAAGGAAGAAAAAGAAAACTAACTCATATTGTAGGTACTTTGCGTTTAAGGCCATGAAGGACTGGAAACTTCCCCCACCTGTCACAGTACTCTAGTCTGAACATTTTCCTCTCCTCAGGGATCTCAGACCGATCAGGAGCTCCATAAGTTAGGAGTATACCTCGGGTCATCAGACTCCCGGGGGACCTCCAGCAGATGTCTCTCTGAAGATCTGACAGAGCTGATTTGTTTACATGAGCCCCGAGCCTGCTTGAAGTGATCTGCCCAAGACCACACAGTCGGTCAGCACTCCCAGGCCTTTCTTCCCCACCCCCTGGCCTCACCAACTGCTCAGCATGAGCGGACACTCGCCCTCCTTGAGTTCATTAGAAGTTTATATGTTTAGGAAGCACCTGGTTCTAAGCAGTTGATCCTAAAATGGGTTCTCACCTTATAAACTTTCCCCCTAAACAGAAATGGTGATTAAAGTGAGACTTAGAGAAGGGGAAGTGGGGGAGGACATGCCAGGGACTTACCTAGAACCTGAACTGTGGGCAGACTTGGGGGAATAGGTTAGGGGGTGGAGCTGATTACCCAAGTACAGGAAAGTGTCTAAGGGAGGGAGCTCTTTCTACTATGGGGGGCATCTTAAAGCGGACTCCTCTGATACCAAAAATATCAGTATCTTGGTTACAGCAGAAGGCACAGTGTCTCCTGCCCCAGCTCCCTTCACCTCTGAAGGCAGGAATATTAGTGAACATTCCCTGCATGGTGTGAAGTAATCAGCGACTGGTCTATAGGCATCAGGTTCCAGACCAACCTTCAGAAGAGCTTCCCTTGCCAAGAAGCTATGCCAAAACTGAAATCTGTGTGTGCGTGTGTGTGTGTGTGTGTGTGTGTGTTTTCAGTTTTAGCATCCTTATGAAAATGAGACCAAAAAGAGAAGTTTTAAGGCCTGTTTCTTATAAACACCCCGCCATGCCCCTTCACCTGCTTCCCACCATGTTTTAGACTGCTCTGTACTTCCCAAACCCATATGCACACTTCCTCTTCCCCCAAATCCTGGCCAATAAATAAAGGTTGTTCTTTTTCTCCTATGAAAGGTGAGACCACCGAAACTCAAAGTGGTAAGCGGTGAGGCGGTAGTGGACAGAACGCAGACCTCCGAGACAGAGGAATTAACTAACTTCTCCTCCCACTTCTCTCATTTTCAAGTGTGGGGACTTGGGAACATCACTTAGCATCTTGGAGCCCCAGTGCCCTCAGCTATAACGTGGAGCTTTACCTCTATCTCATAGAATTGCTTTGAGGATAAAGAAAGATAATGCCCTTTAAACTAGTGTTGTTATTATGAAGGAACCAGAAGGAAACCCAGCTCTCCTGACTTCCAGTTAACCCAGAGCTCTAACCTGTTCACAGCACTCCGTGTGCCCGGGAGGAGAAGCCAGGTCCACCCCTCCCGGGTGATCTGGAACCAAGTGCCTGTAGACTTTGGCTAAGTCACAGCAAAAGGCTATGGCCAAGAACTACCTTGAGGAACACCTCCTTCTGAAGAATTTAAAGTGAAAGATAAATGACTGGTGGGTTTTTACTGGGTGGATGTGAGAACGGGCTGGAGACTTCCTCGGGGAAGGGCTTTGAGCTGGGCTTTATGGCCTTGAATACGGTTAGAGAAGCCGAGAGAAAGACACAGCACAAACAAAAGCGTGTGAGGTGGCAGGTACATGGGATCCGGTGAGGACAGGGGACTGGCTGCTTGTCTGGTGGTAGTAGGTGGGTGGCAGTTCCGGGCTTCCTGTCTTCCCACAGCATCGTATGGTCATCCTGGTCTTAGAGCAAAACTCCTGGGCTTCTCTCAGACACAATCATCCCAGGTTATGTGGGAGCCCTGAATTAATTACCATGCCTGAGAAAGGCTGCCATCGAGCTGGGAGCCGGCCATTCTTACCCAACCACCTGGATGCCACACAATGAGGAAGGGGTGAAATGGACGCAAATGAGGGAAGTTACGCCATTCACTGCACTGATGCAGGCGTGAAGGTCAGATGATGTCATGAGACCAAATCTTCTCAGGTCTTGTAGGCGTTAGTAGCCACTCATGCTCTAGAATCAGCTGATCCCACAGTCATGTTAAGTCCCCCCATTGTATTTCCCCCACACTC